AATATATAATATATAATGTATAATATATAATACATAATATGTAATATATATAATATATATACAAAATATATAATATATATAATATATAATGTATATTATACATATATTTTATATATATTATGTGTGTATTCTATATATATATATATATGTTTATATTAGTTTCTTTATTTATTTATTTTCAAGCGGCAACATATAGCAATTAACAACCACAGCGAAAAAAAAAAGCACTGAACAATACGTGGTATCTTTTTGGCGTCTATTGGCAAATTGCCAATGTTACTTTAATTAGTTTTCGTCTTTTCCCCTGTCTCTAGTTGTTTTGCATTTTCTCGGCATATATTTTTGTTTGTTCTCTGCACTGCAGCTGCAATAACCATTTAACTATAGCGTCCGTGGTTAGATGCAGCACAGGAACCACAGCAACTGCAGCAACGGCAACAGCAACAGCAGAACCGATGCGAATCAATTGACAGCGCATACAGCGGACGTTCTTTTGCACTGCAGTGCACTGTGTTGTGTGTCTGTGTTTGTGCTCTGTTGAGCCGCACAAAAGTGGTGTATCGTCGTCATCGTCGTCAATCGCTGTTTTATTCCTCATCCAATTTATCTGTATCTGTTAGCTGTAGGATGCTGGATTACGTAGTGTCTGTTTCCAGCAAAGTTTCTTCGTAATTCTATATCTTATTTTACTTTTTTTCACTTTTAATTTACATTTTCTTTGATTTATTATCCTGTACCATTACTCTTTTGTTTCGTTTCAAGACTCTTTGGTGAACGGCAGGAAATGTGTTGTGAAAGCCGAACATGGAAAATATATATTTCTAATTTCGCCATCTTTTTTTTTCTTCCTCTCTACTGTGTTTTTGTTTGGCTTTGTTTTGACGCTTTACTCGCCTATGCTTGCCTTATTGATCCATTAAACTTACGGAATATCTTTTGCCAACATTGTGCCGTTTTTGTACGGCGAAACTTTTGTAGGTGGAATTCACTTCATCATAGAAGGGCGTATGCTTATTTTTTTGTTTTTCTGTTTGTTTATTTGTTTATCCGAGAGTTTCATCCACCACCTTTTTTTCTTTCTTTTTTCCTTTCGGACTTAAATTAATTGCATATTTTCAATTGTTTTCGTATGTATTAAAGGAATATGATGGTGAAACCAGTGGGTGGATGAAAGTTTAGAATCGGCTGAAACAAACTCATAATTTTGCTTGGATAAACGAAAGGAGGTTTTTTGTTGTTAAGGAAGTCCACACATATTGAAGTTGTTTGAAACGTGGCCTATTCTGCTTCTACGTCGCATCGTTGGTTTTTTACTTCTTTTCTGCTTTGTTAACTTTCATTGTTTGGCTATATTTGTTGGAAATTGATTACCTGACTCATCGACGTCACTTTTCTCAGTTTGATAAGTTTTTTTTAATTTCAGTTTAGATTTTATTAATAACAGGCAGATTGTCTATTTCCATTTTATTTTATTCCTTTACTTTCTTCTCTTTTTTTTCTCGTATTTTTCAATATTTGATTTTTTTAAGAAGTATGCTGAAATATTGTGCTTCGAACCATTCTCTAATGCATTTTGGATTATTACTGTCTGCCAAGTTCACTTTTTTCAATTTTTTGCTTTGTTTTGTTTTT